CGGGGGGGCGGGGAGGGAGGAAAGATTCATTTCTGTTTTTCTTTGCCACGTTTTTTACTTCGCTGATGAAATTAACCTCCTTAGTGGCACGGTCTGTTTTGCTCCAGCTTGGCTGTCCCCTGCACTAGCAAAACGCTGACGCTCTTTAGGGGTCCCAGCGCTGCCAGAGAGCTGTATGAAAGCCCCACGGGTCTTTTTAGGGATGTAAGCAACTAGTTGACTAGCCGACAAGCAAAAGCTTATGGAATAATCGACTAGTCCCTCGACTAGTCGCTTCCCCCCATTGCTGCCTCTATCAGAGGCAGCGTGGGGCGGGAGCAGGAGCCGGTGCCGGGGGGAGCCTGTTTAAAAGCCAGCACCATCTCCGCAGGGGGTAGCGGGACCAGGCGTGAGCCATTCCCGTCTCGCCCCAAATCCCAGATGCTTCACCTCTGCTTTTTAAATGTATTAAGAACCCGGTGGCTCTTAATACATTTAAAAGACAGCCGCAGCAGGGTTAGCTCCTGGGCAGGAGCGGCTCTAGGATGGCTGCGGCAGCTGGCGCCCCAGGCGGAAGGCGCGATCGGCGCCCCCGCCTGCACGGCCGTCAATGGCTGTGACGTCATCATCGGGTGCCCGGGGCGCCCCATAACTTCATCATCGGGCACCCTGGGCTGGTGGCGCCTTAGGCGACTGCCTCGTCTGCCTAGGCTCACGGGCCACCCCTGCTCCTGGGGCAGGGAGTTAACTCCACTGCGCCTCCCCACTTATCGACTAATCGACTAGTCAATGGAAAATCCATCGGTGAGTTGATTAAAAGATATTTAACATCCCTATGTCTTTTAGCCACTCTTGTCATTTAGGCAGAGACGGCTGGATTCAAGATTTTCAAAGACGCCTTCCTGTGAGTGCCAGACAGGTCAGTACCATCCAGGCATCCCTGGCCAGTCAAATAGCATCCTTCCTGACTAGGATCAGATGCGGGCTTTGAACCTTGATTGAGAAGGGCTGGTTCTTCACCTGCTTTCCACTCCAAACCCCCTCAGTAAGTGATCTGTGTAACTCTTGGCAATGCAGGCCCGCCCTGAGTGCAGATGTCCGGACCTCTTTAGGGACATCTGCTCTCAGAGGACGTCCCCGGAGGGGTTAGGAAGCCCAGTCGTGCCAGGAGAATAGACTATTGATTCATCGATCCTGCGTCTTGCCAGACCAGAACAAATGTCTGGGCCATCCCGCCTGTCGCGTCCCTGTAGACGTCTGGTCCTGCCCTGTTCTGGGGGAATAGACCAGCGGTTTTCAAGCTTTTTTTCTCATGCCCCTGTTGAAGGAAATCGTTGGTGCTGCCACCCAATAGAATGTGACTGGAGCGTGGGCTCCGGGGTGGGGCAGAGGATGGGAGCTTTGGGCTGTAGGAGGGGGCTCCGGCTTTGGGGGGAGAGGACGGTTTCAGGGCTGGGGGAGGAAGGGCTTAGCTTGAGCAGCTCCCGGGCAGCGGTGGATCTAAGGCAGCTTCCTGCCTCTCCTGGCACCGCAGACCAGGCTGCCCCCAGAAGCTGCCGGCAACAGGTTCCCAGCCAGTGGGAGTGCAGAGCCAGTGTTTGGGGCAGGGGCAGTGCGCAGATCTCTGTGCACTCCCCCCCCAGGAGCTGGGCCTGTTGCAGCCACTTCTGGGGCGCAGCACAGTCTGTGGTGCAGGCCAGGCAGGAAGCTGCCTTACCCCCCAGCCATGCTCACCTGATCCCCCTGCAGCCACAAGACCCATCGCCCGACATCCCCCCCACCCAGTGCTGGGGTGCGACCTCTTGTGCTGCTGTGGGTAGAGGCTTTTTTTAACGGTGTCTCCTCTTTCCACCTCACGGTGCACTCTTGCGTCTCCCATGCGGAGCTACAGTGAAGTCAGACCCTCCAGCCCTTGTGACATCACAGCCTACTGCCCTGGCAACGGCTGACATCACACGTGCAGCACAACGACTTCTCTGCAGCAAAGCTCTGATTTCAAGAAGACCCGCGTTGCCAAGGTGAAAGCAGAGCGAAGCCCAGGATGTCGGGGTGGACTGAGGCACCTGAGATAACATTCAGCAGTGCAAAGGGAGCATCAAAGGCTCCCAGATCAGAACCGCTGTGGGCTGCATTCACTGTACATCCGCATAAGTAACGGCACAATTTGCAGGGGAGTGGAGAATCCGGCCCCCAAAGTCTCCGTTTTTATTATCTCTAAAGCGTCCTCTTCTCCCTGCCAAGCCAGGAGGCATTTTTCTGACCCAGCGACATTTTTGAAATATCAAAAAATGCCCCTACCCCGAAGCGAGAGGAACATCTCAGCAATTTTTGGCAAACCAAACCTCTGGTTCAAAAAACCAAATTGGGTTTGGTGGATGGAAAAATGTGCTTGGATCCTTTTGAAAATGGGTTATTTCAACGTCAATCATTTCATGAACCCTCCTCCCCACCTCGGGGTTTAGTCTACATTGACCAACATTTCAAAATCAACAAGCGTTTAGTGGTGGAAAACGTCCGAAATGTTGACAATCTCAGAACTTTTCTTCTGCAATAATTGTTCGAGTTGGCAGGATCCCGTTTTGTGAACAATTTGGATTTTGCCATTTTTTCAGCCAAAAAAGTGTTGGAACATTCTCAACCCACTCCACCTGGTGTAAGTTAATTAAGCCAGGAACTTCTGACAGACAGCTTTTCAAACAGACTCAGCAACCTACTACTGAGAATCTCCCAGAAGTTTCCTTAAAGAACAATGCAAGCTACTGGGTGCATATCCGTCTTGGAAATCTGGCCAATTTATGGGTGTTTAGTTCTCTAAATGAGAGCTGCTAGAGGTTACATTCTTCTGAAAATCTGGAGGAAGGGTTGAGAAAAATGAACTAAATCTGATTTCACTGCTGATTGACGCTCATGGCGTAATCGGTGGAGATTGGACATTGAAATCAGAATTTAACTCTTTTGTGCTGTGAAGTTCACTGTTACAAAGACCTTTAGGACCCTATGGGTACGTCTACGCTGCACGCTTATTTCACAATAAACTATTCTGAAAAAAAATTCCAAAATAGGTTATTTCGAAATAACACATCCTCTACGTCTACACTGGCATGATTTTCCGGAAATGCTTAAAACGGAACAGTTTTCCGTTATAAGTATTTCCGGAAAAAGCGCGTCTACATTGGCAGGATGCTTTTCCGGAAAAGCACTTTTTCCAGAAAAGCGTCTGTGCCAATGTAGATGCACTTTTCCGCAAAAAAGCCCGATCGTCATTTTCGCGATCGGGGCTTTTTTGCGGAAAACACTACTGTGCTGTCTACACTGGCCCTTTTCCAGAACAGTTTTCCGGAAAAAGGACTTTTCCCCGAACGGGAGCAGCATAGTATTTCTGGAAAAGCGGCTGATTTCTTACATTAGATCGTCAGTGCTTTTCCAGAAATTCAAGGGGCTAGTGTAGACAGCTGGCGAGTTATTCCGGAAAAGCGTCTGATTTTCTGGAATAAATGGCCAGTGTAGACACAGCCTAGCTAGACTACAGGGAAGCCTCAAAATTAATCCAAGGAAGGCTTCCTTAATGTAGACGTGCTATCTCGATTTAGAGACCAAGGCGGCACTAGGGAGGAATTACTTTGAATGGCCCTGGGGAAGAGCTATTTCAAAATAGCAAAAGTGGAACATCCACACGACTACTATTCCAAAATAGCTATTTTGGAAGAGGCATTATTCCTCATGGAATGAGGTTTACAGAAGTCGGAATAAGCTGTCCGTTATTTCAAATTTATTTCAAAATAATGGAATTGCCGTGTTGACATTTGCATTGTTATTCCGAAATAACGCTGCTGTGTAGATGCACCCCAAGTGTCCAAAAATTCAGAGTTGGATCCGTCCCCCAAAATGATGAAATGGGCTTAAGAATTATAGGAATTTTTTAAAGAGAAATTAATTGGGGTTTCCTTGCATTTGCTATCAGTGCTTTGGATTTTGGGCTTAAGAATTATAGGAATTTTTTAAAGAGAAATTAATTGGGGTTTCCTTGCATTTACTATCAGTGCTTTGGATTTTGGGGCTTTTTACCCACGAGGGATCATGTTTACAAGATTTTTTTTTCTGCTACGACAAAAGAAAGACTGAGAAAGAATGGAAGCAGAGAGTCTTTCATAGTTACATGATTCTGGGAGCTGCGACTTTAAGAAAAATAGAAACATTGTGAGACCCAGGATAAAATATTGGCAACACCATGCGATCAATGTAGTTCCGACTTCCCAAAATTAGGATTTTGTTTTAAAAAGGAGGCCATTTAACAAAGCCTGATATTAATGGAAACATTTCGTAACTTTTTATGCAATTCTCTTATGAGGCTGAAAACCCGACCAATCACAGTCATTTGACTGTGAAAATGGCAATAAGAAAAAAAGCTGAACGTGAAACAAATGAGGTAAATGTCACCAGCCGAGTTCCCTGGAAACTGTGTACTTTTGCGGCCGCTCAGGAGAGATTCAAATGCTGCCCAGTTGATTAACAGAGCACCCACAGCAATGTTTTGTTTCCACTGGGTGGTGCACATGCTTTGGTGCACACTAAAAAATTATTCTGCACATGGACGGGGCAAAAAAATTAGAGGGTGCATTGGTCATCAGCCAAGTAAAAAAACTGGCAAATAAAACCGAAAGTGACGCTTTTTCCACCTCCCCGGCCCCCTTTCTCTCCCTGGAGGCAAAGGGATTGGGGGTGGGGCACCGCTCAAGGCTAAAAAGCTTTGGATCCCATTGAGCAAAACATCAAACGAGGTGGAAAACTTGGGCTGAAAGCCCAACAAAACCAGCCCTAAGGATGGAGAAGAGGCAGGAGCCAGAACAACTCACTGGGCATGCCCAAGGCAACGGCTTTCAAAGACACCAGTCACCTCCTCCTGCCCCGCCCCTGCCACACCCCTTGGCGCAACTCATCAGGTGTGAACAAGTGGAAGGGGACAGGCATCACCAATGGGAGGAGAGGACCTGCCTTAGCCCCGCCCCCTCGGCCCAACCCACCTGGCGTGAAGAGCGCGATGGCCTTGAGGCAGGAGTACTCCGCCGAGTCGACGTGCAGGGCCTTGAGCTTCTCCACTTGCTCCTGGAAGACCCGGATGTGGTCCATGAAGGCCACCACCCGGTCGGCCGACATGGGCGAGGCGTGGAGCCCGGCGGCCGCCAGCAGCGGGGCCACGTGCAGCGGCATGGAGCACTGGGCGGCGTTGAGGACAAAGAGCTCGCTCCAGGTCATGCGCAGCAGGGACACCTGGTCCGAGAGCTGGAAGTCGGGGAAGAAGGGGATGTTCTTGGCCCACTCGATGGCACTGAAGAGCAGGCGGGCCGCCAGCTCGCAGATGTTCTCGATGCCCATGATGTTGGACTGCAGGCACTGGGCCCCGTAGCGGGAGGTCGGATACGGCTCCGCCCGCAGCAGCAGGGGGATGAAGCCG